GATCTTTATCGAGAAACTGTAACTGGAAAATTCCATAAGGCCTACCAAACCAGGTAGTAGACGCAACCCCCATCCGTGTAAATTTTTCATCCCACTATACTTACTTTTTTTTTTTTATCGTTTAGGAGTTCCTGAGCAACACAAAGAGTGTTGTGATGTGTCTTCTTTTTCTCTATCAATAACTGTTGAAACAAAATGCAGGAGTTACGTATTTTTTCGTATGAAATGTTTTTCGGTTTCTTGTTGGTAAGCAATAGAGGTAGTCATGATAAAAAAGGTATTAGAAAATAACGATATTAAAAAATTTTACACGAGAAACTTCTTATTTATAACACCTAAGAAACATAAACTTTTGATGCGATTGGTGTATTACTAATACTAATATATTGATCGACAATATGACATTTTTCCATTTTTAGAGTAATAGTTTAGGGAATAAACCCGATATAGTAACTGCCCCTGCGTAACCGTCAAAAAAAGTTCGTGCACATGAACTTTTGTGATTTAGATGTGGCTTACTCATTTCAGACTGTTCCATTTTAAATATTTGTCCAATAATCATTGGACAAATCACATGATTAGAATATACAAAACTTCAAATTATCTAATTGCCACTTGGGATAGTTCATCGATATCATAATTATAATAATTTCACCAATATGCATGTAGCACTCAAGGTGTAATAACGTAGTATCAAGCAAATTTTCGACGATGACTCTATTCGAATTTCCATCCTTAGCTGAAGCACTATCGAAATGAAATTAATAATTCAAGCATCTTAAATTACGCTCTCATGCTGACGGATATTATTAGGAAACGATTCACGTTGAATTTTCAATTGCACACATTCAATGACTTATTGTCGAAAATGAGTTTGTTTTATTACAACATAGCATGATATAACTAACATTCAGAACACATATGGGGATATATGTATCGGACTGTTAGAAAAAGCTTAACACGTACTACAAGAAACACATTAGACTTTAAAACGCGAAATTGATAAATTGATTAGTTACACTATAAAAAAGATCTGCATGCGACATTGATTTATATAGAAGTTATAGAAAGTTAAACCGAGTTTTTTTTTAATTGCATATATTCAGAATGAACAAACAACAAATGCTCGGAAGTTCTAAATTAGCAGAGAACCATGAGCCTATTTATAAAGATTATCGAGACTCAATAGTGGAATCACCAGCAGTGAGGTGGTTTAATTGGTTAGAAAAATCAAATTTGGAAAAATGGTCAGCAATAATATCGCTATTATTTGGAATTTACGTAAGATGGACAGTTGGTTTGCATCCATACTCTGGTAAGCTTCGATATAAAAATCAGACGCCTTTTTGAGGATCTAACTCAATGATTACTCGAATTAGAATTAATTCGCGTTATTCATCATTTAGGTCAAAACACTCCACCCAAGTATGGAGATTATGAAGCTCAGAGACATTGGATGGAATTAACATTACATGTTCCGATAGATCAATGGTATTACTATGATTTTGAATGGTGGGGTCTTGATTATCCTCCTTTAACAGCATATGTTAGCTGGATTTGTGGTAAAATGTATGATCCTTTGTAATACACGTATATTACCTTCTCTGTATTTATATTATACCTTTTCATGCAGAGGATCGTTATTTAACCCAGAATGGTTTGTGCTGGACACATCGCGTGGGTTGGAAAATGAGGAAAATAAATTGTTCATGCGATCTTCCGTGTTGGTTCTTGAATATTTAATATATATACCATCAGTCTTTGTGTTTGTGAATTGGTGGTTCGCTAATGAATCTTGGAAAAGGCGTGTAAGTACATTTAAACTTGTATGATCAAACATAAAATATTTTGTTAATATTTTGCCTTTATTTAGGGATTAGCAATATTGTTCATTCTCCTTCAGCCTGCTCTAATACTAATAGATCACGGCCATTTCCAGTGAGTTGTAGTAATGACTTCTTATTTATTTATTTATTTTTTTTATTTGCATTTCATTATAATTTTTTTCGTTATAGGTATAATTCTGTGATGTTAGGACTTACGATATGGGCATTGAATTGCTTTTTCTTTGATTATGACGTTTTAGGAAGTATTTTCTTTTGCCTGGCATTGAGTTTTAAGCAAATGGCTCTTTACTTCGCACCCGCTATTTTCGCTTATTTATTAGGAAAGTGCATAAAAAACAACAGAAAAGGGTGAGCGTTATGTTAAACGCATCAATTCATATTTAACATTTATCTTTGACTCGCTTTAAATCTTTTTGATTATCTAGGATAATACTTTTTGTGAAATTGGGCGTTACAGTGGTTATCACTTTTGCTATCGTGTTTTTCCCTTTCTTGGATTCGGTTGAACATATCTCGCAAGTCATCACACGTCTATTCCCCTTTCAGCGTGGATTGTATGAAGACAAGGTAGCCAATGTTTGGTGCGCTGTAAACATTTTCATCAAATTACGCGAAATGTTTGAAATTCATACGTTGACAAAAATAAGGTAATGTGTAGTTACATTTTATATTATTAGGTTTATCAATTATAAATGAGATTAATTTTAAATTTTATTTTGTTTTGTTTTGTTTTTTTCTAGTTTGTTTACAACACTTCTAGCTATCTTACCATCGTGTCTACACCTCGGTTCAAATCCTGACAAACGTCGGCTTGTTTATTGTTTAGCGAATTCTGCATTGGCATTTTTTATGTTTTCTTTCCAAGTTCATGAAAAGTCAATATTATTACCTGCATTACCAATTACACTGTTGATTTTAGATGAGCCATTCTGGAGTTCATGGTTTAATAATGTTGCTGTATTCAGGTATGATATGTTTCATACATTTTTTTTTTAAAAGAATTTAGCCACTTTTTATTTAATAAATATTATTTTTTATGATACAGTTTGTTTCCTTTATTGAAGAGGGAGCATTTGATTCTGCCTTATTTCGTTGTATGGCTTATGTGGAATTGGATGGGATCTTTTGTTCAGCAGAATGTGGAACCAATAATATTAAAATATATTTCTTGGGTAATTTTTTTTTTGCGTCAATATTGTTGTAATCGAAAGGAAAACAAAACATACCCTAATTTTATGTTTTATATACAACAAATAGGCTTCTTATTTTATGATGGCTGCAATTCATTTCTTAGAATTTAACATCACTCCACCAAAAAGATATCCTGATCTTTATACTGTATTAAATCTTACGTTCAGCGCGGGAATATATTCATTGATGCTTATATACTTTAATTATCGGCAAATAATCTCGTATAATTTGATTGATAAAAAGGATAAGAGAAAGGCCGAATAAATTAAAGATGGTGCTGATATTATGCTTTAAATTTATAGTTTGAGAGAAACGTTCTGAATTTTTTATAATAATTGATATATAGGATATAAATTACCTGGCACTTATAAATAATTGTTACGTTAATATATTGCGAGATAACATTGTTAAATCAAAAGCACCAATATTGAACAAAACAGAAAAACGATTGATCAGATTTTTTTGTCTACAATTGGTGCAATATTAAAAAGTAATATGCTCTTGCCAAATTCATTTGGTGTAGTATTTTTACAGCAAATGTTACAGGACTCGTATTCACAAGATTTTGAATAATCGGGCAGTATTTACTTTTGTACAATTAATATTAATATTTTAATTTAATAAATTATTTCATAAATTTCAAAGATGAATTTCTTTTCTTTCTCGTTTAATTAAATCGCGTATTCACCGAATATATTGAATGGTAATTAATACAAAAATCATGTCATGTGAATAAAAAATTTTTTTTTTTTTTTTTTTTTTTTTTTTCGCGTCAAAAAAGTCCAAATTCAGTAGTTTGTATCAAATTGAGAAATTGTGTAAGTATTAAGGTTTGTGATTAAATACAACAAATCACGTATCAAAAAATCATCATCGACTTGATGAATAAATTTTTATCTTTTTATTTTTAATATTTATTTAAAATATCGAGTCCCCTAATGGAAATAAATTCGTTCTCACATAACGAAACACGACTTTTAGTCATTAATGACGAAATCGTACAAATTACTTTTAAGTTGCATAATGAGTGAGTCAAATTTATTTTTTTGAAATTCCCGAAATTTCAATTTCCTTTTTTTTTTTTCTCAATTCTTTGAAATTACACATTTGTTATAAAAATATCTTATTTTTAGATCAGATATTTCACTCTATACGGAATACCATGATTTACAAGAAGAAATCAAAGTATTTTTGTAACATTGTGATATTCGGAATATGTTTGATCTTTTGTGATTTAACATATTTTTTCTCCTTTAGCAAGTCATAATAGCATTTGTGAAGTTCATGGACGAGGATCACATCATCGACGGCGAAGGATACTATTTGCTTTGCAGTAATCTTTTCTTTCTTTCTTTCTTTTTTTTATCGTATCTTAAAAGGCAATTTTTCTAATATAATTTTTTCAACTCTAAAATATAATATAGAAAAGAGTATTTGGAATTTTGGAAGGAATTATATCTTTTATGAAAATGATCAAGAAATCCTACCGCATCAATATAAATATAATTTCGAACTGGAATTTATGAGCCAAGTTGTCAACAGGCATGTATAAAGAGATAATTGTAATATAATGAATTATCCTTACTTTTTTTTTTTTTTACATCATTAATTATGTTATGTTAATATGCCTATTATTATAGAGGTAAAAATAAAAGTATAACTGATAGCAACAAGAACAATGCTTCTATTTTAAGAGACGTGTCTTTGGAAGATAGTGCTGGAATGCCAAAGAGTAGCAATAATGCGGTTAATCAAGAAATGTTACAGCAAGTGACGGCAAGGACCAACAATTTACCAGTTGAGAATCGGGATACGAGAAAAGGGGCTACGTCGACTATCTCGAATTTACCAAGGTCTAACGAAAATACGCGTACACCGTTATTGGTAAATCGAGATACGATACAAGGTTTCGAGGAAAATACGTATATAACACCATTTTATAATCAAAAACATGTGCAAAAACCAGTTGACAGCGCATATGCAACATTATTTAACTATCGTGAATCCACGTACACGACTCCGATTGATAACCGAGGGCATATGCAGGGATTCGAGAATCGAAAATATTCGGAATTTATGGCCGATTCACATGGAGCTCAGTTTGAATATCAAGAGAATTCGGACAATGTTAGTGAAACCCAGTTTTAATTTTAATATATATATATATATATATAATATCAACCTTACAATCCTAATTGCTTTTCCATTTATTAGGCATCCAGAACATCATCCAGAGGATCATCTCAAGAATCATTCATAAGGGGCATTAGGACGAGTCAAAATTCGCTTGAATCGACGTCTTCGTTAGATTTTGGATCACAGACAATTTCCGGCATTTCCAAATCACAATTCACAATGCCAAGAAATCAAATATCGAATATATCTTATAGCACGGACGATCTTGGTGATGATGGGGAATCTTTGACCCAAAATTCGACGTCCACTAATTTATTAAATGAAACAATTGAAGATTGTGAAGATAGCAATACCATTATTAGGTAAAAACCTTTTTATTTTATTTTATCGAGATTTTGTTCATGTGAACCTAAATTTTTACATTTTATTTTAGTTTTATCAATCCTTTAAAATTTTTCCGAAAAATTATTTCGTGAGAAGGGTACAAGATATGTGGCAATTTGTGCGCCATTGAAAGCTGATTTAACTATGTTCAGAACACAATTATTATAATGACAAAAACTTAAAATTATTTACATCATACCTTTACTAATTATATTATAGACTGTACTAACTCCTCCCTCCCAAAAATATATAGATGAATAAATAACAATGTAAATAGATATTCAATCGTCATTTGATTAGTTATTATATATATATAAATATATATACATAAAAAAAAAAAACTTTATATCCCCACATTTTGAAGTATGGTATTACCAGTGACTAATTTGGTAACCTCACATGATAAATCGATTAAAGTATGTAAGAACAACTTCTACTCACGTTACGTTGTGTTACGTCATGATCTAGCAACATTACCTGATCGGCAAAACATTACCGACCAATCACGGTTCAATATTAATATTGTTAGTAATCTGCCCGCAGTAGTAAAACACTTGTCATTCTGTAAACATGGAGAATCAGTTTGTACTCAAAAGAGAAGATATTGAAGAAAAAAAAGTAATTAAAGGTGGTAACCTTGAAACCGTATTGCCAGTTTCCAATCGACAGCCTAATCCACAGTTGGTTCCCATTCGTCCACCGTCTTTAGACCCTGAATCTTCGAGAACAAGAGTTTCTAAAATAATGAGACATGCTAATTTTTCAACGATACCTCCAAAGTCAAGTTTAACAAAGTTTCATACAGGGTTTCATGGAGAATTTAGTAGTAGTTATGTAAAGCTAGAAACAAAAAATCTTTCTACCGGAGGCAATAAGACTAGTCAAATTACTTCAGGAACGGTCTCCTCAATGATGCCACCGGCAAATATTTCGACCTCGGTTATCTCTTCAATGACGCCTATAGTTACTCCTACATCCATCAAAGTCTTTCCCGCAGAAAAAACGGTAAAAGTTTCGAATAAGTCTAAACTAGTTAAAATTTCACCAAGGACAACAGATGATGCAGATGAATCCGCAGTCGAATCCAAATTACAAATAAAAGAAGAAATAAAATCTGAAATCATTAATAATAATGATGATGAACAACCTAAAGAGACGACAACAAAGAAACGAAAGTTAGAGAATGAGGCGTTCAATGAAAAAAGATTCGCTTGTCCGATATGCAATAGACGTTTTACGCGTAAATTCAACATGCAGACCCACCAACTTACTCATGAGGTTGATCGAGTGAAACCCTTCCTTTGTAGTTATCCGGATTGTGAACATCGTTTCACGAGAAAACACGACCTTAAACGTCATATATACGGCATTCATGAACTTCCCGAGCACGAATTTAAATGTTTTAATTGTAGTAGAACCTTCACTCGAAAGGATGCTTGTAAGAGGCATTCACTTACATGTCATTTATTTGAGGAAATTCCGGAATATGAAGTTCAAGAGAGAAGAAGACGTAGACCTACTTCGAAGACCAAATATACCAAATATGATCGGGAAATTAATTTTGGACAACAAGGTACGCGTAATGTTGTTACAGATAAAATAATTTTTTGTGGATGGATTGGAAAATAAATATACTTTTTGAATATGTCGACAGCGATCGCACCTTTAGATCAACGTTTCTCGACTTCAAATACCATGAAATTTTCAACTGATGATTTAGTTAATTCTTTAAATGTTGAAAATTCTTCAACCTCATCAACAATTGATACAATAGATAATTTGATGGATGAATCGATGCCTGAAGATTCGATCGATCAAATGTTTGATGGAGACATGAATGGTAACATGTGAAACGATCTGAGCTTAATAATAATTTGATCCTTTACCTTTTTTTTTTTTGAAATAATTAGCTTTTTTTTAAAAGGGACATTTACGTACGATGTGAGAGATTTTAAATTGTTTTTCCTCATTATTTTATATGATTTCAATCTTTTCCCTTCCTTATATTATAAATTTGACTTCATTGTTTGTATATATGTGTGGTATGTAAGGTGAAGTTTTATTATTCAGATATTGATGATAGTGTTTATATGTAAAATGTCATCTTTATAATAAAATCCCCTTATTGTTTTATATAAATAAAATAAATAAAATCCGATTATAAATCAACGTGCTGAAATCACGTGATATAGTCACCTCGCTTTAACTTATTTATTGATGTGATGGAAAGTATAAAACTACATAAATGATGACATATACTAACAAAGGAAATGCATATACGACATAAAATCATGTTTTTGTTATGTCATCAAACATACTCCAGATCACCAAATTAAAATAAATAAATATTAATTTAAACCGACCTTTTCTTTATTTATCTCGTTTTTCTTACCTTTTTTTTTTTTTTTTTATCTTTTTATTAACAATGTCTGATACAGAAAATATATTAAAAGATATCCAAACCTCGTTGGCTATCTTGCCTGAAATCAAAACTCTTCTAGAAAAACTCACGGAAGCCGTGAAGGCTTTGCAACTTGTTCACGGACATGATACGATTGATGTACCTGCTGCGGCACAATTGGTTAATGGAATATCTGACTCGTTTGTATCGCAAATCGTCTTTCCTATCGTAGATTCCATCGAATCGGAAGGTGGTATAAATTACATAAATGACATGAGAAATCATCCATTAAATAATGAAGAGGAGAATGATCAAAACGAGTCCAAAGTAGAAAATTTATTAAGTTCGGCAGAATTAACCGATAAGCCCAAGAAAAAATTTAGTTTGAGTGAAAAAAAGAAATTAAGGAGGATGAAAAGAAAGCGATCCAATACAAAATTAAGCCCTGAAGGTTCTTCATCCATTGATTTGAACTTGAGATCTACATCGGAAATCCAATCGCCTCGACCTTCCAAAGAGGTTGCATTGTCACGTGTACCAGCTCGCCCTTCCCCGCGATTTCAAGTGCGTTTACTTTTGGGAATGTTCCATGCCAGTTTTTTTTTTGTTGTTGTTGTTTTTTAATTACGTCCCCTTATTTTATTTTTTTTTTTCGATTTAGTTGAATCGGACAGATACTGCGGTTTCACCTAAAAATGACGGCAGGGATCGTCTTGAAATGAGAGGTAAATCAAATCAATCGACTGGATATCAACGCGAGATGTTGAAAGATAATTGGCAACAGCTAGCTTCTACATTTGAAGAAATGAATTTGAAATCAGAGATTTTGTTGGGAATCCATGCATTAGGGTATTAATATAAAAAAAAAAATTTTTTTTTTATTATTAACCTTGAAAAGTTTGATTTAATCGTCCTTTTCTTTTCTTTTTTTTTTATTGACATCTTGCAAGTAGTTACAATCAACCGACATCCATTCAGCAACGTGCGATCATGGCGATATTATCTCGTCGGGATGCTGTAATCCAAATCCCTCGACTGGAAGAAAGAACCATAACTTACATCGCTGCCCTACTTCAACAAATTGAAACAAGTGACAAGTCATGCCAAGCAATTATAATCGTGCATTCGAAAGATTTGTGCCTTGCGATTCAAGATTTAATCGATGTCGTAGGTCAACACATGCGATTTTCATGTTTGGTTTGTATCGGTGGTATTCCGGTGAGACAGGACGTAGAAAATCTGAGAAATGAAGGGCACCAAATCATAGTCGGGACTCCGGGTCAGTAAAATAACGGATCATTTAATAATTTGTCGTTTAAAAACTTTAAACGTTACAATTTACACGTGACTGAATGAACAGGTAGATTGATTGGACTAATGACGGATCGTAAATTCGATTTTCAACGCATTAAAACGATTATTGTTGAAGACTCTTGTATCATGTTTAATAGCAACTTTCGTTCACAAGCTTTCGACATCATTTATAAAATACCAAAAAGTGCTCAAAAAGTTCTGATGACGACCGCGACAACGTTTACCCTTGCTGATATTAAAAATAAGATAACAAATAACACTATCATCGTTCTTGATGACGTAAATATGAGTGACGAGTTGCGATTATATTACACGGTTGTTGAAAAAGATGATCAGAAGCTCAATGCGTTATGCGAAATTTACAAGGATGTAGATATTCAAAAATCCGTAATCTTTTGTGATAATTCGGAACGAGTTGATTGGTTGTCTGACAAGCTAACAACTTTATTTGAAAACATGACCGTCTACGCCATGGTATTTTATGTATTCATGCCTTTTTTTTTTTTACAGAAAAAAAATAATCATCTATATAACGATAAAATTTATTTTATTCATTTACTTAGCATTCCTCTACAAAACAATCAGACAGACATGAAATTGTCAAATCTTTCTGGAAATCAGAAGTAGCTGTAATTGTAACTACAGATTGCTTCTCATCCGTTTTAGCGTTCCATCCCGTAGATTATAGTGTACATTTTGATTTACCATATAAAAAGGAAGAGTACCATGATCGGTATTTATTGATTTTAAACTTAAATCCACGTGACCAATCACCTTAAATCCTTGCTTTTTAACAAAATACTATTTGATTTTTTGAAGACTTTGCTGTTGCGGTGCCTATGGTCCTCCGGGTGTGGTCATCAACATTCTTATTAGGGAACAATTATATGACCTCGGAGTTCTTGAGCGATATTACCGATTAAAGAGCAAAGAATTAAAGAGCCAAGAATTGCCGGTAAGAAAAAATGATTTATCACACTTTGACTTGACTATTAATTTTATGAAATAATAGGAGGATCGAAATTTGTCGTTGAAAGTGGAAACTTGAATACCTTGACTGAACAGAATATTATTATTATTATTATATCAATATCAAAGTATTCATTTGCTATAATATGTATTATCAGATTTTCATAATAAAAAAAAAAAAAAATTTCTTTATTTTATATGTTACAAAAATTACGGATGTGCAATTATAAATCAATAAATAAAATAATTAATTAAAAAATCCACGTGATGTTCTATCAATTTACTGACTTTTGATTATGGTTACACGAATTCACTCTTCAAGCAATAAGTCAGTTTCAAACTTTTACATGCTAGATTAGTGTAGATTTAACGATGTCAAACAAGAATATAAGTGATGTTCGTGAGATTTTAGGAGTTGAAACTAGTTCAGTACTTGATAAAGTAAATTCTGATAAAAAGATTAGTCACGTAGTTGAAGCTATAAATAATGCTAAAAAAGAAAAGGAAAGAAAAGAGAAGAGAAATGAGAAAAGAACTTTTAAAGGTATATTTCGTTTTTAACTATTAAATACAATGTTTTGCCTTTGATTATTAAAAAATTTTGAACGGTAATAGACACGCCAGTCAGTCGGGAGTTATCGGCTTTAGTTGGGCATCACGTTTCAGTAGCTTTTGAAAGAGCAACTGCATTAAAAGCAAAACCAAATCTACATAAGGCGGTAGGCAAATGGTAATTCGATCTTGATCATAGAATGATGTGTAATTTTTTTTTTTATTTATATTGAAGAAACAAATGTAATGGTAAAAAAAAAAAAAAAAAATTGATTTACTAATAATCACACATCACACTTCCCCTAGGACATGGAACAAGTATATAAATCCTGCTAGAAACGATGATCTGATGCTAAGTCATTGGACAAAAGAGAATACAGAAGAAGGTATTTGAATCAATGAAAGGTTTTAACCGACGGAATTCTTATGTTAATTGTTATTTCATTTAATTTGATAAAGAAACAATTAGTTTTGCAGACTTTAATAAAAAAGTTGAAATCGAAGAGTATACAGATGAAGAATATGAAAAGTATTTGAAAGGTACGACAAGTTTTCAAAAAATTTTTTTTTTCTTCTTTGTTATTTTTTTATATGAAAATTTTTAATTTTCGACTATTATCATTGATAATAGATCGGGATTGGAGTAGGGAAGAAACTGACTATCTATTTGATTTATGTCGAAAGTATGATATCAGATGGACCGTAATTCATGATCGTTACGATTGGAAAGATAAGGACAGAACGATGGAGGTAACGGAACCTTTTTATGTGATTACACTCATTATCATGCTCATGCTCATATGGTCTTGTATTTTAGGATTTGCGAGATCGATATTACTCTGTCATTAAAAAAATTTTGCAAGTACGACCAATAACGCCTGGTAGTCAAACTGACAAGGGTCAACAGATTGCATTAAATAGTTATGATAAAGGTATGTCGTAAAATCATATCATATCGTCAAATCCTTTTGCTCGTTCATTAAATGAAAATTACCCTCTTTTTTAGTTAAAGAGGAAAAAAGGAAAAATATGTTGCTTCTTTTATATTCACGGACAAAAGAACAAATTGAAGAAGAAGAAGCATTACAAGAAATAAGTGATCGTATTCAAGCAAATGAAAAAAAATTCATCAGGGAAAGGGAGGCCTTAATGAAACAATTTACGGTGGAAGCGCTTCAACCAAAGCGCAAGAAATCGTTGCTTAGCGGACCCACAACTCCTACAATAGAGGCGAGTGGTTCGGGCTTTCATAATACCTCTGATTTACCCAAAAAAAATCGTCGTACATCGGCATCATCTGTTGGTTCGATTGCGATTGAAGGTAATATTTATTAATGATATATTTTTATTTTATTTTATTTTATTTTATTGATTTATTTATTTTTGTCATTCATCCTTTATCTCTATACAAATGAAACCTTTTGATTCGCGTGAAAATAGCTCATTCACCAAAAGAAGTTCATACTCCAATGGTGGTAAAGAAGGAAAAACTCACTCCGGGTGTTTTGGTACGAAGTCAAAAGATACCTATACCAAAACTAGCCTTATTACACAAAGTCCACAAGTCTTTACAAGAATTTGGTTTGGGACCACGCCCAACTATGCCAACAGAAACTGTTTGTGCAAAGTTTACCGAATTACAGAAAATGACTCAAAACCTGTTAGATCTTAAAAAGCTAGTTGATAAGCAAGAGCACGACTTAAAAGTCAAACGGACGACGCTTCAAAAGGTTTTATCGGCTTCAGGGGGGGAAAAGGCAGGAAATATTGCCCAAGAAGGAGCTTCGACTGACGGATACATTGACTCGAGTACCATTCCAGTAAGTTAAAGAGGAAATTATCTAACGTGACTTATTTACTTGCTGAATTTTTATCATCATCATTATAAATCAGACGAAGAGAGATAGAGGATCGCTTCCTGCTACACCTCGAGATGTCAAACGAGCGCGAAAGTGAATATGATTTCTATTTATTCATTCATCTATTTTATTGTTTTGAAGACTAATACAGTTAATTTATCTTTCTGTTACATTTATATTAGTTGAATCTATTGAAAGATACACGATTAATTCTATATAAGTAGTATCATATGAGAGAAAGAATATATTATTTGGAAACTTTAATTAGATTAATGTAATTTCTATGAAATTAAAAACTTTTTGTAAAATTAACAATTATTTTCCTCTTATGGGTATTACGATAATTTTATCGGCGAATTCCCCCCAAGCAATTCTTTGGTTTACAAAAATTCCATACCAAGTTGACAGTGCGATAAACCAAAACAGAGCACCTGCCATTGAATAATATAGATCTAAAGAAATAATTTTAATTAAAAAAGATATATATATATATAAAATAAAATAAAAATATAAAAAAAAAGAAATTGAAAAACTTACACTTTTTTATTTCTTTACCGATATCTGACCGTTTGGTTAAGGGCCACATGTAAATTACATTAACAACCCATAACCAAGGTAAGAATAAAAAACCTATATAAAAAAATTTTTTACATAAGGATAATATTTCGGAAGGAGTCGTTTTTGAGGGATTTGGAGGCATGTTTGAATTTTTTTTTATCCGAAAGAAAACCGTAACGTATAAACCTTCAACTTACTCATGTAACACGAATTATTTACGCCAACCAATTAAAAACTGCTGTATAAAGTTATTACCCGTAAAAAGTTACCAATGTCTGCGATAAATTTCTTGCGAAAATGAACAAACTTTATATTGGTAAACCTTCTTATGGGAGCAATTGTATATTTAAGTAGAATTGAAACTTTTTCGGCGGCACATCGATTGCACTCTTCGTCTTTATCAGACAAGGAAAATAAAGAAATATTTGGAAAATGTAATAATCCTAACGGTCATGGACACAATTACAAAGGTTCGCACGCAATTCGGTTATGAATTGAATCAATTCCACCATTAGAGCTGTTATTAATTTATGAAAACGATTAGTTGAGGTAACGGTGAAAGGAGAGATTAATCCAATAACAGGTATGGTTATGAATCTAATGGATTTAAAAGAATGCATAAAGATAGCAGTCATGGATGTTTTGGATCATAAGAATCTGGTAAAGATACAAAGGACGTCTCATTTATTCATTACTTCATTTGATAAATAATTAATCTAATTTATTCTGCATTATAGGATCTTGATGTACCATATTTTAAAGATAAGCCTAGGTGAGAATTAGATTCTTATCGAGAAAAAAAAAATTTTCAATGATGTATTTTTTCATATAAACTGCGTTATCTAGCAGAAACGATGATGTAGAAAATTTTCAAAGAATCTGAGATATATTTGTATAAGAATTTTTTAATTCGTCTTTAATTTTTAATTAACGATAATTTTTTTTTCTTTATAGCACATCGGAAAATTTAGTTGTTTTCATTTGGCATAATATCCGTCAAGTCTTAAAAGATGGTGAATTATATGAAGTGAAATTATATGAAACCGAAAAAAATTTGGTGGTTTATAGGGGTGAAAATTTAGATTTATCAATTAATTAAAAAAATAATCTAATATTTTAATTTCAATTAATTATAAATAATATATGTACGTTTACATAGATTTATATAGATGTATAACCATTAATAACCAATAAAGGAGATTTAATATAAAATTAATTTTATAAAAGAATTTTTACTGCGGCTATTCTTGTTACTTATTGTGGAGTCACATGGTTTGAAAATTGGTAAATTTTGCATTATTCAATAAAATTTTAATAAAATTTTCTCTATTATAGAACGTGGTTTCGTGGTGTAATGGTTAGCACCCAGGACTTTGAATCCTGTAATCCGAGTTCGATTCTCGGCGAGACCTGTTTAATTTTGAATTTTTTTGAATTCAACAAAAAAGGAGTTAGGCTAAGCTAAATTTAGGATAAATACTACTGAATAAATGTTGAACAAATTTGCTTGTGTAAAAAATTTAGAAAAAACCTACGAAATTTTTAATTCTCAACCTTTTAGATCATCCATTATTTTTTTTTGAAACAAATGCATTTCTTGTTAATAATATTGTTTATAAAAAATTTTTTGGATTATATTTGGCTCAAACATGTATATAAACTTGTTTTTTTTTTATAATGCGATGAATAAATCGGACGATCTGAAAAAAAAAAATAGGGGTGTTTTTAATTTCAAATTTCGGGATAAAATTGATTATTAATCAATTTCGGTTGGTCAATTAATTACTTTTTTAAATTTTTTAAAAAAAAATAACTATAAATGAAAAGCATAAATTTAATTTCATAATCATAAACTCATTTTATAAATATGTGTTATATCTGTAAAATTAGTTGACTTATATTTCTTATCTTTATTATTAAACATATATATAAACTTAATATTCTTTTTAGATGGTATTTAATATCTATTTTTTTTTTATTAACCTTTTTTATAATATCAAAATTTTCTATAATTAAAATCTCACTAGCATTTCTTGGACAATTTATATAATTATAATATATTTGAAAAGTTAAGATTAATCTTTTTTTTATAATTTAATAAAATAGTTTTATAATTTAATGCTTTTTTTATATCTTCATATAAAATACTGAAATACCCTTTTCTTCTAATCAAAAAAATAAAAAAAAATAGTATTTTTTTTTATATATATTTTAACATAATTAATATTATTTTTTATTAAAGATATGTATTGATTTTATTTTATAATCTCTTCTTTTTACTTATAGTAATATATGCTATTATAATTTAATATTTTAACTTTAATATTTCATCATTAAAATAAAATTACATTTTTTATAATATTATTTTAAAATTAAAAATAAAAGTTTGTATCATTATATTTAATTCTAAACCTTTTTACATTAATTAATTAAAATAATATTTTAAAGAAAAATTATTTTTATTTTACCATAATATGTATTCATATATTTTTTAAGTAATTTAATTTAAATTTAAATAATTATAATTAAAATATATAGCTGATTATGATCAAATAACATAATATATTATTTAATAATAAACAGTTTAAATTAGATTATTTAATTGCCAATTCACAAATAAACCAATATACTTAATTAAAAATTTTGAAGCAATTATTATGTTGTAATTGATGAATATATAAAGTCATAGATTTACAAAAAACAGATTACATGACATAAATAAAATTTTATAAATTTTATTTATTTATTTACAGAATCAATTGTATTTTTTCATTAAAGACTTTACTATATTGAAAATAGAATTTAGAACAGTCTTAAATTCAGAATTTATTAAATTTATGTAAAATTAGCAGTTTACTATTTATAATTATATTTTTTTGACACTTTATACTATTTTTAACTTTTTTTTCTTTTCAGATTACAATCTTTTATTTCTAGACCCACTTGCTTTCATAGCATTATAATAATTATTAATACTATTAGTGACATTACTGAAGTTAGTATTATTGTTATTATTGTAAGATTTTGTGTCTAGATTTAATATCAGATTTATCTATTGTTAGAAATATTATTCTCTACAACTCTTTATACTAAATATTTTTTTCAAGTTTGACAAATATCTTGCTATTCAACCCTTTACTATTTTGATTTCTGAAATATTATCAAGTTAAATTTCACCTTCTTTTTCTAAATCTTGAAACTGTATTATCATATTCTTTATTAACATACACTCCCCGGTCAAAAGTATTGGACCACGTGATTTTTATTATACTAATTGGCGTAATTTTTGCCGATTATAACTTGTGATCTAATGTATAAAATTGAGTCAATTTTTTTTCCTGCATAGCTACGAACTTCTTGTATTCAAATATAATTTTTTTTAAAATGCCCA